GAGACAAGAAGAGGCTTGAAAAAAAAAAAAAAAAAAAAAAAGAATGCTGAGCTAGCACTTTAACTGACATATGTAAAATTATGTTGGAAGATTTATGGTTAGGGCTGAGTTTTGGGGAGTAGTGACAGGAACACAGCAAACCAAGCAAATGAAAACCAAAAAAAAACCCCAACAATTACTAATTTTAGGAAAAATTAATTTAACCTAAAGGAGAATAATACAGGGATTAAACAGCCAATGGTAAATATACAGGCATACTGAACTTTTAAGAATTGCACCGAGCATATTAAACTAACAAGTATGGGGATTATAAAACTTGGAGGAAGATTTATGAGTGCTAACTGCTTGCCCAATGTCAGAAATCAACATCTAAAATCAAGATTAAGACATGGCATTAGGAGCTGGTGAGATGGCTCAGTGGTCTGAGGCACCTACTTAGAACAAGCTTAGCAAAGCAAAGCCCAGGGACCGCGGTTCAATCCCCCAGCACCACATGCCAGCCAGCCCCGCCCCCTGGTGGGCTGAGCTGGCCGCACACACACACACACACACACACACACATAAATTTAAAAAATTAAAAAAAAAAAAGACATGGCATTAAAGCCAACTGTAATACCACATACACTCTAGGAAGGTTAAAAGTTCAAGCCCAGCCTAGACTATTTAGTGACTTGGTGAGATCTGGGGATATATGTTGTTTAGTGAGAAAGTCCTGGTTCAATCCCCAATTAAGACACACACACCCAAAAGATCCAGGCCTGGTGGTGCATGACTATAATCCTAGTACTCAGAGTTTGGAGGAAGAATCACCACAAAAGGCCACCCTTGTCTAAAAAAAAAAAAAAAAAAAAAAAAAAAAAAGAATAAAAAAAAATGTACATTAAGTCCTGAATTACTGAAAAATTCCTAGAAGAGCAATATTTTGGGAAAGAAGGGATCCAGATTTGGTGGTGGTGCTGAGATAAGGAATTTCTCTTTTTAGTGTTTTATTTTCTCAGTGAATTAGGAAGAGGGGTTCTGAAGAGAACCAGAAGACATGAAATAGTCTTGAAGAATCTGGAGGATATAGGACTACAGTCAGGAGATGCTGACTGCTAGTTTAGGATCAATGACCATACTCAACATTACTTAAGTTTATTTATACCATTCTGTATATGGCTCAAATTTATTTCCTCTCCATACAAACTGGTAATAAACTCAGGATTACACCCTTTTTTGACCCAGATCGCTCCAACACTCCCAAGAGATGCCATTTTTAAGAGAAAATATAACTGTTTCTTTTCTGCCTAATGTCCTCCAAGAACTGGTTCTCATAACACTCAGAAAATGGTTGACCTTGAGGCCTCTCATTTAACCACATAATCGAAGGGTTGCCCCTGGACTTTTATCACATCACTTTTCCATCTTTCCCTGCTTCCAATCTATGAATACATATCCATGTATATATCTATTGGCTTAATGTGAGTTGGATGGGCCTGGCCCACAGAGGCTGTCAGTGACATCACACGCTGAGACTGCTGAATTAATCACTTATTACAAATGGAAATGTAAGCTGCAAATTCCCTCAGAGCATGTGCTGTTGGGACAGTCTAAGATCATGAAACAAGAATACCAAAGATGTCACAATGGGAAACAGTATTCCATTCTGAAAATAGGTATAGCATTTAAATTGTTTACCAGCATGATTAATAACTGTACATCAAGCATCTGAGAATAACATAATTTTGAATAAAAGCACAAATTCTTCTGGAGAGAAGACCTCCCCTCAGGTCAGGCTGCTTATGTATCTACCATGTCGAGTAGTACAGACAGATGGAACTTGGAGGCAACTTCCTCTTCCCTTGAACTCTGGATCAGCTGTTCCAAGTGCTTTATTCGTCCTGTCAGAGATGTATCTGTTGCTTCTGACAGCTGCAATTGTTGTTCCCTTGTTTTTGCATTCTATTTGAATAAAAAAGAACAACATAAAAAAATAGCCTTGAGATATCAATAAACCAAGACATGCTCTCTGTAGGGACTAGATCTGGCATCTGCCAATCTCATCTAGGGCCTGTTGGCTCTTTGTATTATACACGGACCATTTCTAGTGTCACTCATTTTTATAAGGTCATGATGAATGTACTGTAATTGTGTAAACAACTCCCATTTTTGGACATTCACTTTGTTTTTACTTTTATGCAGTATAATCACTGCTGTAGTCAACACCCTTATACAGGAATTTTTGTGAATATTTTGACACTTCAGAATAAGTCAAAAGTTATGTATGTTTTTAAGGTACACATTTACTAAAGTGATAAATGGAAGCAGTATGCTATCTTAACTTGCTTTCCACTGCTATTGAGGGACTTCTTAAATCTACTCCAGGAAAACCATTTTCACCAGTGTAGTAGCATCTACCTGTAGTTAAACTCTGTACTTCTTTAACCACTGAGGGAAGGGCAGGAGAACTGAAACACCTGGGGTTTAGAGCTAGATTGGTTTTGAAAAATAACTATGCTCCTAATCAGCTGAACTCGGTAGTCTTGACTTCTATGAACTTACACTCATCATTCCATTAATTTTCTCAGGGAAAGTTAATCCCAAAGTCTGTGATGCCAACATTTTGACAGTATGTGTTCCCCACACAGAAGCTGTTGCTGTTGTCTTTGTTATTCTCATCAATGCTCTTATTACACTTCAGCAAAAGGTTACAGGTTTTATTCTGTTCTTAAGCATGTTTCAGTTCCATCCTTCTTTAATTCATGTACACAGAATTACTTGGGTCGCTCTAACACTGACACATGACACTTGAGAAAAGGTTTCATTTAAGCTAATACTGTATTGTTTGTCATGAGTTGCTTTTTTTTTTTTCATTTTAATGTAAATACCAAATGTACTGTCTTCTTACCTGTGGGCTACTGGTTGTGGACGTTTTTACCACAGCTTCAATAGTTTGAGGAAGGGAAACTAGTGTCTGAGGAAGGTAGAGGGGTAGAGAAGTTGAATCTGTAAATGTTCTAGAATCGTGAGACAGCCATTGCTGAAGCTGATCTTCAAACCTGAAATAGTATATGATCATGGAATTTAGAAACATTTGAGCATTAAAAACAAAATGTTAACTATTATTCATTTCTTTTAGATATGTACTTTTACTTTTCAAATGTCCTTGTTTTACTAAGTTATAATACTGAGTTAGAATATTAACTGAGGGGGCTGGAGAGATGGCTCAGTGGTCTAAAGCACCTACTTGAAACAAGCTTGGCAAAGCACAGGGACCGCGGTTCGATCCCCAGCACCACA